TTAAATTTAGTAGACAAAAAAAGCTGTTAGTTGTTGTAGTGCAGCAGTTGGTTTTTTTGATGTTGTGCAACGGATTAACACATTCTTTAGTACCTCCACTCATTCATGGACAATCCTGACAAAAGCGCTAGCCAAAGACAAGACACTAGTGCATAAAAATCTGACACACGTTAGTCAGTACATGCTGATGCAACAAGTGCTTTTGAGAAGACAAAAATATTCAATCTGCTCTAGATCAAGGGCGGATCCAGACCATGTCGTAAGTGGGAGCAATTTTAATTTTTTTTTCGATTTGGGGGATGCAGACGATCTAGTAATGAGGGGGGAGGCAATTTTCAGATTTAATGATTTGTATGTAAGCAATCACACAATTTTGAATTTTATTAAAATTGTAATTTTATTTAGACAGCCTAACTATATTATTTCCTTTTTCAAACAATTTGCTGTGTTTAATATATAAACTTACAAAAATAAAAAATTTTCAAAACTTTCTAACGGGGATAATCGCTCCCATTACCCCCCCCCCCCCAATGGATCTGTCCTTGCTCTAGATACCATTGCAACTGATGAACGTATAAAAGGTGAAACTTGACAAGAGGCGCTTGGCTTGCAAAACGTCTTGGTGAATTGGAAACTGGTACTTTAACTGTCTTTTGAGACGCGATACTGCAAAATTATATAAAACAAGTCTAGCATTACAAGGTACCACTTTAGATTTGAATAAAGCTGTTGGTTTGTTGCCTTCATTGTCTGAGTATGTTCTATTGTTGAGAGAATTGGATAAATTTGAGAAATATGAAAAAGAGTTGTGCAAATATGAAGTATATAAAAAAGAAGTCAAAAGAGTCAGAAAAAGAAAGCAACAGATCAATGAAGGTACTTCTGAAGAAGTTCTCCTACTTGAAAAAGATGAGTATTAAGTTAATGTACTAATTGCTATTATCAATCAATTAAAAGCATCTTTGACTCATATATCACATATCTGTCGCATATTCAGATGCGGCCAACAGATTTGGGTTCATGAGCAATTTGCAAACATTACCTTGTATGGAAGTGATAAAACATTGTGATACTTTAGCAGCACATTATTTTAATGACATTAAATTCAGCTTGGAAGATGAGTTATTAATGTACCTCGATTTGCTCAATGATGTTTTTGTAAAAAATTTTCTGAATGCTGCAGTAGCTTTTAGAATTTACCTCAGCCTAATGGTGGTAAATTGTACAGGAGAAAGAAGTTTCTTGAAGTTAGGGCGCTTTTTCATTGAAATCGACCCTAAACTATCAAATTAATTCCAAAATCGAAGCCTCATTTTAAAGATTTCTTAGTACCGATAGAGTTTTCTACTGACGAGTTATCTACTGAGTAACTATTTGATGAGATTAAAAAAAAAAAAAAGCAGTTGGACATGATAATAAACTGCTTTTAAGAAATAAAAGTTAAAATAATTAAGTTATTCCTCTATTTATAGATAGTGACAAATCTAGCATTTGTAATTATCGTCATATCTTATCTACATTTTCAAAAATAGTCGAATAAATTATTTACAAAAAATTAATTATTATCTAATTATTTTTTTTAATACTCTATTAAACAACAATCAGTTTGGCTTTTTTAAAAAATCAACTGAGCATGCAGTTATCCAATTACTACGTGAAATTTCCAATTCTTTTGAAAAATCTGATTTTGCATTAAGAATTTTTATAAATCTTTCAAAACATTATCAAAACAATTACTACGAAATAAAATAATAATAATTAAATGGTTTCAATGTTATTTATCTAAAACATATCTAAACTATTTAAATGTAACATTAACATGTAAGTTAACATTAAATGTAAGCATATTAAAATGGATTCTTTTTCATCCGTTCTGCAAAAAACGTTTTCTTCCCTCAAATCTACCAAAAACTTTTATTGAATTAATTGAAATTAAAGGAGATTCTGTAACTAAATACTTGGGCATTTTCATTGACGCGTACTTCACCTGGAAATATTACATTAACTATGTCTGCTCGAAAGTTTCAAAAAGTATCGAAATTTTATATAAGAAGCAAGCTTATTTAGATAAAAAAAAATGAAACTAAACTTTATTACTCTTTTGTTCATACTTATATAAATTATGGAGTTATTGCCTGGTGAAGCACTGATCAAAGCAAGTTACAAGCATTTTAACGCCGTTAGAAAAATGCGATCGGCTTGCCAATTCCTCTATATTTTTTAATGAAACACAATGTATATAAACTAAGTGTATATAAAATTTTATCTTTTGTTTATATTTGGAAGTATGAATCTCCTTTAATTTTTAATGATCTTTTTTTTTTTTTGAAACTGTTAAGCAAATTTGACATGAGAAATAGTAATCATGTAAACGAACCATTCTGCCAAACGTAATTCAAAAAATTTTGTGTCACTTATCGTGCGGCTCATCTCTGAAACAAAATTGTTTGTCTAATTTTAACTTACCCCAAGCTAATCCTGTTTTTTTTTTTTTTTTTAATTACAGATTTTATTCTCTCTGCTGAAAATACCTGAGAATAATTTTAGTTTATCTTGTGACGAAATAATGTTTTAATGTATTGAGTCACCTATGTTTAAATTCGATTTTATACTTAAGAACAATTTATATTTATATATTTAAGTACGATTTAATGTTTTTATATCATTTTTACGTAATCTTTTGTAAAAAGGCAATTTTATATTATTTTATGTAGTCTCTCTTGTAAAAGAGAGACTACATAAAACTCTTTTGCGATCTGCTTTTAGAAGCCTTATTTGTATTGTAAAATACAAATAATATATATATATATATATATATATATATATATATATATATATATATATATATATTTTTTAAAATACAAATAATATATATATATATATATATATATATATATATATATATATATATATATATTTTTTTTTTTTTTTAACAACAAAAGTATCCGTATATATTTCAATAAAACAAAATTACATATTTTTACATTAAAGTACAAAACGTACAATTAAACAATTTTTGTACCATTAAAATTTTTACAAGACAAAAGAAATTCAAAATTCTGTTTAGCGCATGCGCGTTGTACAGTGTACAAAATAAGGTAACTATTCGTTGTTTATAATATAAAGTGCTGGCTATTAACCCATGCATTTAAAAAATATATGCAAGTCCGTCGTACCACAGGGCTACTAGGGACTTGCTCGTAGACGTTGTTGAATATATATATATAAAATTATTCTTAAAAAATATTTACTTTGTTGTAAGGAAACTCGCAGAAGACTAAAATAGTCTTTTCATCGAGAACCTTTAAAACATAAAATAAACTTTAATTTATTAAGTTCCATATTTTGAAGTATTATTTTGTTATGTAAGTGTTGTTATGTGTATATATATATATATATATATATATATATATATATATATATATATATATATATATATATATATATATATATATATATATATATATATATATATATATATATATATATATATATATATATATTATTTGTATATAATATTCCGAGCCTTTGTGAAATTTACGAATCAAAACTCGTAAATATGTTATATGCTATGTTGCTTATATTCGTTACAAATATCATTTTAGGCAGCCATGATGAATAAATTTGAAACAATTAACTCAAAAAGTCACGTAGAGTTTTTTTACGATAGGTAAATACGATAATCAGATTCATCAACCTTGGGAGCACAAGAATTTTTCAGGCGTTTATAAAACTTCTAAAAAAGTTCAAACTTTTTATAATTATTACATTGTTATATACTCAACGGAATTAAAACATAAAATGTACTAGCTTGTTACAAAATAAACTATCAGAGTTTATTTTCAAACTTTAGCTATGCGTTTGAGGTGCAAACAAAATTTACTGCTCTCAAATAGATATCAAGTATGGAGTTAAGTTAATTGATTAAATTAAGGAAGGTAATATAAAGTAGTCTCATGATACATATTGATTGCGTAGAGGTTTTAAAAATAGAACTGCGTTTTTTCCCAGGAGAGCAGACAAAACAATTTTGTGACGTTACCAAAACTCTATGCTAATCTAATTCAGACTTTAGTCATATCTATAAATCTAAAATCGCACACTTCTATATTTTCTCATATTATACTGTAATTGTTTTGACTGTTAATTACATTTGCAACATTCAATAATTTTATATAACTTTTACTTTTATCTAAGAAGCTTTCTTTTTATGCTCCGCTAAAATTAATACTTCTAAGAAGCTTTTATAATACAATAAATTCATCCAGCTAAAAACAGACTAAAAAAACAATTTGAGTAATAAAGTATACAGTTTAAAATAATGTCAAACTTAAAAATAAAAATGTTTCATAATATAAATGTTACATAACTTTTTGAAAATCTCTCTAAAATAATTACGGTCTCTAAAAAAATTACGGTTCAATTTTTCAAATTTTAATGGGAAAGCAATATAGTATTGAAAAAAAGCTTGAAAAACGAATTAATATCGAAATTTTTTTGATCGAAAAAAAAATCGAAATTCATTTAGAAGGAATAATGTCGAAAATGTCTATACGCAATAATATCGCAACTTGGATTTTGGAAAAGTATCGAAAAACTAGCAAAGAGGTAGAACATGCAAGGAGTGCTGCTACATCGACTGAGGGTTTGGTTTGGGCAGCCAGTCTATTTATTTCGATATTAATCCGGAAAATTTCTTTTCGAACTTATTACCTTTTGAGCTATTTCAATCTTATTCTGCTTTTCGGATTTTAGATACAATTCGTTTTTTTACAATTTCGGTTTTATTCTTAATTTCGATATTACTCCGGAAAATCCCTTTTCGAACTGATTCAGTTTGGCTGTTTTCCATACTATTACAACCCATTTTAATTACTTATCAATTTCAATATCTAAACGGCTATATGCGAACGATGTTTTTTCTCAATTTTGACAACGTAAGAGCTTCAAAAAAACGTCAGGCATCACGTAAATGCATCTAAGTAATTTAAAACAAACTGTTCCTTTTGGCTTTTTTAAAAGTTCATAATTCTTCATTTATCATATCATTTACATAATTGCAAATCTTTTTTAAAGTTACGTGTAATCATGACGTTGATTATTCAGAAAAGTTGCTTCGTCGAAATTTTAGACTTGGGTTTCTTTTAATATGGTTTCCAGTCATTTATTCAAATTTATTGATTTTTTTTTTTTTTTAATAGCTTTCCAACGCACATTTAAATTTAACAAATCAGGACACCACTTCTTATCATCTTTAAGCTCATGATCAATCTCAGTAGATATTTTGTCATATTCAATTTTGACATTTTTTTTAAAATTTAGTTCTTCTGTAAAGTGAGTTTTCTTCCACAATTTTGACCATGGTCTTTCATCTAAAGTTGGTATCTTATCTTTAAGAAATTCCACAAGATCAGCAAACGGACTGTTGATTACTTCCTTCATTAAAAAAGTTTAAATGAGATAAAATTATATAGGATATTGTAAGATAATGTATTTACATTACCTGTTTTAAGAAAATGAATTTTTATAATTAACTTATTTAAAATAAGTTATATATAAATAATTATAACTAAAAAAACTTATAAATGATAACTTATAAATACATTATTTTTTAAAATAAACAATTTTCTTATAAAATAAATTTGTTTTTCAATTAAGTAATTAAATTTAATAGAGCGCAACAAATTTCTAATATACGTTACATCTTCATCTCAATCAATTTTAAGTTTCTCAGCTTGATTATTACGAACAGTTAAATTTAGAGTTAACAAATTGATGAACTTTTTTATTTTATTTCAATTCACCTCCTCAAGGCCATGAAGGCCACTACAGTTAAGGAGACTAATTTAGTTGTGGTTACAACCCTCTCTCAACTCTTTAATTCCGAATAAGGCCGCCGCGCGGAGAAACAAGTTGAACGTACCGCGTTCAACTTGTTTCTCCGCGCGGCGGAGAAACAAGTTTCTTTTCATAGGTAATGTACAAAAATCATGCAGCCTACACAATCTACTTAACAATCTATACTTTACATTTGGCATAAATTATATTACACACAACTAAATCAGACATTTTTAAACTTCTAAACAAAACCTTTATAAATATCTGTTTTAAAGACAAAAATAATTATTTTAAAAACTTTTTTTACCTAATATTTTTTATAATTCAATACAAATATTTGTATCATATACAGTTACTATTTAATACAAATTTTTTTAGCATATCTTGTTACTGTGGTGACTATTTACAAAACAAGCACAATATCCTACCTTAAACCCTATTGCCAATACTGACTTCATGTCAAGAAAAGATGCAATAGTTTTACTTAAGTTGTTAATAGAACAAGCATGTATACCATGAACTAAACACACATTCATTAAATGCCTTGTCATAAGACTGGGCTGAGCTGATTCACAAACCTAAAGAAAAAAATTAACCTAAAAAAACCTAAAGAAAAAAATCTAACAGCAAATTACTTAAAAGATTTTCAAATATAAGGGAACATTATTTTATAGATTTTTTCAGATATTTTACAATTTGTCATATATAAAACTTAATGAATTTTATTATTTTAAAATTTTACAAAATAAGAGTTCTTTTTTACAAGATAAATATTACTTGTATAAAAATTTATAATTTAACTGGAATTAAATGTATATTTAAAAAACTAAATATAGGTTATATCTCGTTACTTGAAAATTGCATCACTTGGAAAAAATCATATATATGGAGCCCTTAGAATTAGGAATAAACTTATTTGACAATATAACTATATAAAAAATGTTTTTTCATAAAAAAGATGACAATGATCAATTTAATTAAAAACATCCGAAAAAAATTTTTAAATAATTTTATTTTTCAAGTTTCAGTTATAAAAATCATATAAGTTTCAATTATAAAAATCATATAAGTTTCAATTATAAAAATCATATAAGTTTCAATTATAAAGTATTGCCAATTTTTTGAAAATATCTTCTGCATAAAATAGAAGACACTCTAATTCTGCATATTAAAGTACTAATTAAAAATATTAAACCAAATCATGTGACTAATTAAATTGATAAATGTTAACCAGTCATTGACATTTTTCAAGTGCATTGTTTTTTAGTGAAATTCTTATTATTGCTATTAAAAGATAATGACTTTTGAAATAATTTTTGTACAGTATAAATCTTAAATTTAACTAAAATTAAATTTAACCAGCCTCTAATAAAAATAATAATAAAGAAAATTAAAAAATAAACATGAAAAAAACCTGAATACATTATTAAAAGTTTTTAGCAAAAATATCATTTTAAATATTTTTTTTCTTAATTTTAAAAATAAAATGGAATTGATGTTTCAAAATTTAAACTTGTTCTTCTTTTTATTTTAATTGAACCTGCTTGATTGAGAATACTCTTTCAAAAGCTTGATTGTTAAAGCGTGATACAAAACATCCAAGGATGTCAATCATTAAAAAAAAAATCTAATTGACGAAATTCTTTCTTCAGTTCAATATATCAATTTGACAACTTTGTGTGTTTTGTGGATCTAAAATAAAACTTATTGCATTATCTGAAATAAAACTTATTGGAGTTCTTTATGCAACTTATTTCTATTAAATCATTTGCAACAGGTGAAACAGAGTTAGCATCATCATTATGACATCAATAAACATTTGTGGATGTTTTTGTTCCGTAATTTAGAGTAAATATTTAAATTGTTATAACTTGGTATATTTACACTCTGTAGATAAATTATCAGAGTCATTAAAACTGGGTCTCTTTTGTCTATCCTTTTTTTGATAGCATGTATCAGTTTTTTGGTTATGCTAGTTTGCATTGGTGCAACTTTTCAAACAAAATTTTGTAAACTCCTTCAGCTGGCATGAGATCATTGCATCATTTTTACTCAATCAGTAACAGTAGTTTCAACAAGTGCAAGAACATCAAGGTTTTGTAGGGCAACATCATTTTCTTAAATGGGATCAAAATTCAATTTAACAATGTAAACAAAATCAGTATTTAATTTAACAATGTAAACATGATCAGTATTCAATGTCTAAATCTAAATTGCAATCAGTGTTTTGATCAGATGTTCTGTGGAATCTTATTTTATTTTTAATCAAATATCATCAACTTATCTTCAATATTGTCAAAACATTTCTTCAGGAATATAACTTTTTGGTATACAAAAACAATTGGTATATAAAAAAAATATAGTAGATGTAATTATGTAAGAAAATCCCACAAAATTTTCACCTTATATAATGTAGCAACAAATTGTATTTTTATTGGAAAATGTTTTTAATACTTTTAACAAATAAAGTAATTTAATGGAACAATTTTAAGTTTTGATTATGATTATGTAACACTTATATAGTAAACTTACAAACATTTATAGTATAATTTACAAACATTTAAAAGCATTTTAAATAACGTGTTTTAAAAACCAACTAAAATAATGCTACACAAAATAAAAACCATACCAAAAATGTATTTTTGTTTCTCCACATCAAGCCTTTGTAAAAATATTTAGATTTTTTTTTTGCATTTTTTAATATATTTTTTAAATATTATATAGTATATCAATACTCAAGATGGTTTAATTATAACTACAATACCAAATTGATATTTCATGCAAATATGTTATAATAAAAGTGACAAATATGTCACTTGTATTATAACATATTTGTCAGCTGTGTTTTTAAGATAAGTACCTTACCCATATTTCTAGCTAAAAAAATAAATCAAGTATTAAGCAATAAAAATAATTTTATATATATTTTCTTTAATAAACAATTTTGTTTGTATTGGTTTCATGTAAAATTCCAACTAGTCAACTTACTTAGGTGATTTGTTGAATTCTGTTTAAAAGTTTTGTTCTTTCTTGTTCCAATAGAAATTTCAAAGCTTTTATGTATTTCTTATAGCTGAATATTTTTCTACATTTTTGAAATCCTTATTGTATCCTTATCCATCTGAATATAGTAAATACAATTAATCTAAATATTAATAGCCGAATGAATATTATTAGTGCGCATAGTTACGCATTGTTACGCCTATTGTTCGTTTTGTTAATTATGGTTCTGCATTATGTAAAATACACTATAGTTAAAACTTTTCTAAGCGCGGTTATATATTCCACGCGGTCTTACGAGTAAAATCAGCAACCAAATTGAAGCTGATGCACTTATTTTCAAAAAGAATTGATGTTGTTTATTTTTTAAAATAAAAATTTAAATAATTGTTAGTTTGTTGTTGCTTATTTTTTTTTTTTTCCTAATTTTTATAGCCTGTTTTTATTTTTTAGAAGAAGTTAGAACTAAAATGTTTGGTAAAATAGTTTTTTTAGTAAAATGTTTCTTTTTTAGTAAACTGTTTCATTTTGTCGTTAGTCTTTTTAGAACATTTTAAGCAAGTATTGTTTTATTTTTTAGAGCAGTTAGGAGAAGCTGATGATTTTTTTAGTAAGTTCAATTCGTTTTCTTATTTATAGATAAAGATTGTTTTTTGCAAAAAGAATTATATATAAAATAAAGTTTTATATATGTATTTAATATGAAAAGTTAAATAAAATAAGACTGTTATTTAAGCTTATATACATAAGTTTGCATTTATGTCAGTCTATTTTATATTTCTCTATATCTATACTATATGTATATTTTCTCTTAGCAAAAGTTATTGAGAATCAAAAAATAAAAAAAATTCTTCTGGAATTTGTCAAATTTTGACAAATTCCAGAAGAATTTTTGTGACTCAAAAGAATGTTGTGTTATGCTTCATTTTAAGGTATCTAATTATGTATTTATTTTTCATTTTTTAGAAGAAGTTAGAACTAAATTGACTGGTAAAATAGTTTTATTAGCACAATGTTTCTTTTTTAAGAAAACTGTTTCAGTTCTGTCATTAGTCTTTTTAAAACATTTTAAGCAAGTATTAGCTTTATTTTTTAGAGCAGTTAAGAGGAACTGATCGCTTTTTTAGTAAGTTTAATTCATTTTCTCATACATAGGCTAAGATTTTTTTATATAAAAAGAATAAAGAGAATAAAATTTTATTTATGTATTTAGTATGAAAAGTTAAATAAAATAAGACTGTTATTTGTGGTCATGTAAGTTTATATACATAAGTTTGCGTTTATTTCAGTCTATTTTATATTTTATATCTATATTTTCTCAAAGGAAAAATAATAAGGAATAGAAAAATTTAGAAAATTTGCTCTGGAATTTGTCAAAAGAGTGTTGTGTTATGCTTCATTTTAAGGTATCTAAATATATACTCATTAGAAATTTTTAATTTTGTTTTTAAATGGTTTATTCTTTTTCATTACTTTAGATAAATATATACTGACTGACATAACTTCATTTTTATTAACAATGTCGTGCATTGTAGTCTGCATTCTTTGTTACATTTAAAATAATTGATGCTAATAAATGTTGTTTTATAGTTGTTAAAAGTTTGCATATATATGTTTGCATGTATATTATGATCAAAGTTAATTTTTTTTTGATAAATACGTGTATGTGGTGATATATGTTATATAGTTGTTATATAAATGTGTTTTTATAATAGTATGAAATGTATTATATCTAATTTCTGCAAGATTGTTAAATGGGGTGTTTTTATATGCTAAGTAGCATTAAAAAAATATATTGTTTTATAATTAGTATATATGTTTATATAATGTTGTTTCCATGATTTCAAAGTGAAGTGACTTGGCAAACGTGTAGAGCAAGATTTATCAACCTTACCAGTCAAGCGATGTTACTGCTTAAGGTCTAAGTGTTGCCTTGCCTTTAATATAACTATTCTGAAAATACATTGCTTTATCTTTACCTTGGTGTCAGCTGTTAAAAATGATTAATAGGTAGTTTCATTATTAGAACTCACTGCTTTTATTTATTTACTGAAATTCATTCAAGACATCATTTCGCTATAAATACAATTTGTTTATCATAAAAAAATAATATTTAGCAACTACTACTCTGGTATCACCACAGCTTATCTCTATCAGGTACATTGATTTTCAATTCACATATGATGTTTTTCTTTGTATTTACTTATTCGTTACATTTTTAACGTCAGATTTATGGTGTATTTATTTTCTATAGAAGAACAAATCATTTTGAATTTTTTTAAAAAATCTACTTCAATTAACATTTAAAGTTCATTGTTGCATATACCATTTTTAAGTAGCTTCTAGGCTTTTTTGATGCTTTTCTTATTCAAGTGGTTTTATAAGCAAGGTCTACATGCAAATTTGAGATGAAAAGTTTTTCAGCTTTCAAGGGGTATCAATGTTGTTCTCTGTTTAATTTAATTTGTTTAAATAGAGTAGTTATAGTAAATAAATGTTTGTTTGTTCTTGGTTTTTTACTTATTTGTTTTCAGATTCTTAAGAACTAGGCAACTTAGCAAAGCAAGATTTATTTTATTTTTTAGTGCAATTGGAAAGAGCTAAAGTGCTTTTTAGTCACTTCAAATCATTTGTTTCTTTTTTTAAATAGAAAGGTTAATAATAAAAATATTTAGACAGTCGAACTGTTACTGATTTGAGTAAGTTTAATGTTTTGTTCAATTTTATATTAGATATATATTTTTATGTATTTAACATGGAAAACTGACTAATTTTTGACAGGTTAATTAATATACATAAATGTGCCTATATATCAAAATATTTTATATTTCTCTGAATCTATATGAATATTATCTCAAAGAAAAAATTAAGAATAGAAAAAATTTGAATATATATACATACATATATATATTACTTTAGACTGACATTGCTTATTATACTACATTATAATATGATTCTGCATTTATTATTTTTGTGCATTAAGATTGTGCCTGAAGGCTTTCTTAATTTAGCAAAGAATTTAGAACAAAATGCAAATAACTTTGCATTGTGTTCTAAATTCTTTGCTAAATTAAAATAATGTCAATAAATTATTTTTTATATTTTTCGGTTGTAAAAATATAAAACGTTCATTTATTCAGTTGTAACAGTAGTATAATCACTGGTAATATATATTTAATGATAACAGATGTATAATATTAGGCTCGAAGAAGTTATTAGTGTAAATGGTTATAGGTGACTTGAAATTGTTGTCATATGAAAGAAATAGATCTAGGCGTAATAAAATTAATTGTCGTTGAAATATAAGAAATTTTACTTGATGAACCGAAAACTTACTTGACAGAATTCAGTGTCAAGCGGTGTTGATGTCTATTATTTGACTTTACATTAGACACTTTAAAATAAAGCAAAGTATGAATTTTACTATTTATAGTAACAAATAATAACAGTTTCAATTTTTTTTTTTTTGTTATCTTAAACATAATTGTGTTCATTTTTTTTTAGTTGTCTTTGTCATCACTTGATTATTTTGCTTACTGTTGAAACATGGTTTTAATTTTGTAAATTTAATATGATGTGAAATTTACATTATTAATCATTTGTCAACAGTTAGAGAGAAGCTGGAACTTAATTAAGAAATGCTGGAAATTAATTTTTAGTCAAGGTAAAAATAATTTTGTTTATTGAAAGCATAATAAAACCAGTTACTGTTATTTATTGCATGGCTTTTTTACTTTTTCTAACATGGTGTTTTTAAAACACTTCCTCTCTCTCTCTTAGATGAGACTTAAATAATAATTAGTATTGAGAATTGTAGAGGGAGAATTGATTAAACTCTGTAATTACTAAGCTCTTGCGTATTTTTTAATACTGCGATTGATAATTTGCTATTTAAAGATATAATTCTTTAAATTGTCCCTTGGTTGTTCAAATATTGTAATAAATAAAATCTTTTTAGTTTCAAGTATTTTCTCTTAGGGATCGTCTATATATTACGTAACGCAAAATTAAACACATAGACAAAAGAAATATCTTAAAAACTGTGTTTCTCTAATGGTCAACTATATGCTGCATTTTCAAGAACTATAGCATTTAATAGTTTGTTTTTCAAAATTGATAAACATCTTATTCAAGGTATAGTAGGTTAAAAAATGTAACAAATATTGTTATATTTTTTAATGTTCTTAATTTATAGTCTTTAGATTTTCATTTCGAAAATTTATTGTTAAAGGTTGTGAGCACATTTTGTATGTATAACTTTATCACTATTTATTTTTTTTCATTGTTTTTGGTAAATATATCTATCATTCAATAGTTGTAAAATGTGTTTATACGTGTTACATAAAGTCATATTTGTTTATAGTTGTATATATGTTTAAATTATAAAAGCCAAAACAACAATTTATATCTTAGTTTGATTTTTTTTTTAGTATTGCTAAGGTACTTTTAGTATTGCTTTGGTACTTCGAAACAAGTTTTTTAGTTACATTTTCGATAAATCTTTAACTGCAGTTATTGAAGTTTTGCGCATTAATATCGAGTTACTTAAGTTTTTTTTTTATGTGTTTAACTAATTAGTTAGCTTAGTCTGTATTTGCAACACTTTTGAGGAAAGAAAGAAAACATTCTTATATATGTAGATCATTGTTTTACATTTTATTATTTTATTCACCTGGCCACCATTAAAGCAAAAAGAGGGAAGAAACCTCTTTATTAGAGTCAAAATATTTAGGAAAATTAAATTTCGAGTTACAAAAGGAATTTTTACTAAATGGTGGCAAATTACCGTTTACTTAAAATTAATGAAATAAAGAGGCCAAACAAATAATATAGAAATGGTCTGTGTTGAACAGACTTAACAAGACTCAGGTCCAGTCAGCTTGGTTTACAGATTTTTATGTCTACTTATCTCTTATAATTTTTATTTTAGGTTTGTCATATGATGCATTAATGCATTAAAAAATTTGTTATACCGATGTTTGATTGTAAATTAAATTTTTTTTGTTTGAAAGGTATTTGTACTCAGTTGCGTAGTTATTTATAATAAACTTTGTTATTTTTTATAAATTTATTTAAATGTGTGCATTTAACATTTTTAAGTTAACAATTTTCTTTTCTAAAGAATAATTAATCAAGGGGATACCAAAAAATTGATAACTCCTGTATAATATAAGTTAACTTCATTTTAATCTTAATGGTTCGTGTTATAAAAATTATTACAAGGATTTAGTTGACACTTTCGTCAATTTAAAGCATGACCAAGTGTTATTATTTTGTGTCAGTAACTAAAAACCTATTGTGTTAAACTTAGGAAGGTCGATGAAAATGGTTCTGCCTTTCACTGTTATGACCTATGCCATTTGTAAATTACTTAAATAATGTTAAGTAGTAATTGTTTAGTAGTAGTTAGTAAATTATTTTACCTCATACTTTTTATGTTAATTTTACAGATGGATTAATTTTTTCAAGCTAAAGGCGATTTTCTAAAAGGGTATTAGTTAAGGTTTTGCAACATTAAATTGTGGAAAACAGCCACTATAAATTAATTATGTAGCAGACCAACTAAAACCCGTATTACGGGTTGCTTTTTGCTAATAAGAATTAATAAGATAAAAATTAAAATAGTTAAAAATTAACATATAAAATTTTTTTTTTAATAATTTTTTTTAAAGGTATCCAGAATGCTTTAACAACATATCACTTTTATTTTAGTTTTTTTCTTCTGTTTCATAAAAGCTTAACAAAAAACTTTACTTTCAACACTTTACTTTTGTACTTTCAAAGTATTATTTTTAAGGTATTTAAAATGCATCTTTTTTTTAAACACGAAATCTTAGCATAAAATATATTTAATGTTTTGTGCATTTATGAAAATGTCTAAAAAATAAAACATTTCATAAAAAAAGCAATAAAAACATACAATAAGTAATGCCAATTTGCCATATTTTTCTATATACTTTGTAACTGCATTTATGCCAAACAATAAATAAGGTGATGTAGATTTCAACTTTTCATTTGAATAAAGTGACTGCACTGCATCTTCTGCTTGTTCCTCAGTAATATTACAGTATTTTCTTAACATCATATTTTTCAAAAGTTTATTTTGTATTTGAAGAGATAGCGATTCATGATGCAACAGAAGCTTTTTATGTTTTTTTAGTAAAAACTGATGACATATATTATTCTGAAAAACTCTAAACAATAAAATCAAATAAAATCATCTTTTAGGTCATAAATTATATGAGTACGTGTATGTATATATAATATATATATATATATATATATATATATATATATATATATATATATATATATATATATATATATATATATATATATATGTGTGTATGTGTGTGTGTGTGCGTGTCAATGATGTAAATAAATAACTAGATGTCTAACTTCAGGATTTTAATAAAATAAAAGTGAAGCCAATTTATTTGTTTACTATTTTAATCAGCCATTATTATATCGGGCAGAAAACAGTAAATATCATATATAATAGAGTAAATTCGCGATATTATTTCTTTTACCTTGCTAAAGTATTTATTTAATTCAACTATTTTCATCACAAAATGGTAAATTCTTGTGCTGCATATGGATGTTCTAATAGATATATAAATAGTGGCATGAAATCCTTTCATAAATTTCCTCTTCAAAATTCTGAATTATGTAAAAGATGGATTGCTGCTTTGAAATGTGAAAATTTTCTTCCATCCAAACACACCTGTATCTGCAGCGACCATTTTTTAGAATCAGACTACAATTACTGTATCCCAGACAAAAAAAATCCAAGTCTTGATCATCATTATAAGCCTATTTTAAAATGTAATGCTGTGCCATCAGTTTTTGTATTTTCCTCAAATGTTCAAAAGAAAAAAAGGAAACCCCCATCAATACGAACATCAGTAAATTCATTATTTAAAATTGATCCTTTATCAATAAAAAACAAAGTTTGATGTTTGCCCTACTATAGACAAATTAAGCAAAGAAATTAATTCAACACATAATGATCAGCCAGAAATCACTATTGATAAAAATGACCACACCAGTCAATCTCCAACACAATCTATAAGATCTTTATCACCAGCAAAAAAAAATTAAAAAAAAAAGTTAAGGCTTTACAAAAAAAAATTAAGAAAAAAAAATCTATTCTTTACAAGACATGGTTTCCCTTTTAAAATCTAAAAAATATTTGATTACTGATGCTGGAACTGTTTTAAGCGAAAATTTTTCTGGACTCTCATATGAAATCATTAAGAACCAATTTTCCAATCAAAATGTTAAACCAAAAGGTCACAGATACAACGATGAAGTAAAAAAATTCACTTTAACTCTTTATTTTTATTCTCCACATGCGTATAACTTTCTTCGACCAATGTTATGTCTTCCTGCTGCCAGTTTAATATCACATTGAACATCATCTGTAAATTGTGATCCTGGTTTATTCCTTGATGTTTTTTCATATCTTGGTGATAAACAGAAAACAGAATTTTAAGCATTGTGTTCTTATTATAAATGCTATGGCAATCAAAAACAATATAACTTATGACAAAAGTTCAGGTCACTATATTAGTTTTCGTGATTTTGGTAAAGATATTTCTGTATGTGAACCTGATACTCCGGCTACAGAGGCATTAATTTTCATGTTAGTTGGTTTGCGAGGACATTGGAAAACACCCATTGGTTATGTTTTATCAAATAAAGTTAAAGCAAGTGATTTAACATGTTTTATAAAAAATATTTTAGATGTGGCTTTGACATATGAACTTTGTATCAAAAGTATTACATTTGATAGTACTAGTACAAATTTAAATTCCGTTGTCCCATTTGGATGTAAGTTTGGCAAAGTCATAGACAATATAGTTAGTACTTTTTCATATAACAATCAACTTCCTAGACCCATGCCATATGCTTAAATCAGCTAGAAATTCTCTAAATGATTTGGATGTTTTTATTGATGATGAGGGCTGCTATATTAAATTTGCAAACAAACTTTCAAGAAAACATATTGAATTTCATTGCCACAAAATGAATGTCAAAATAGCTGGCCAAACCCTTAGCAGCTCTGTTGCTGATGCAATTGAGTTTTTAATGGTATTGCAGCATCCATCTTTCTTAGGAGCAAATAGTACAATTCGCTTTATAAGAGTTATTGATAAATTATTTGACATGCTCAATTCCAGAGATCCAAATGGTGAACACTTTAAGAAACCTCTATATCTAAATAATCAGCTTTATTGGAAATCTTTTAAATACTAAGATTACTTATCTGAGCAAGTTGACTGATATTAATGGCATTCCATTGCTTTTACATCAAAGAAAGACATTTGTTTTAGGTTTAATTGTAGATGCTAAAAGCACTCTAAAATTATCCACCAATCTGTTAACATTTCATGAGAAACTATTTAAGCATGTTCTAACTTATAAATATTCCCAAGATTATCTTGAACTACTATTTGCTTGCATTCATGGAAAAAATGGTTACAACAACAATCCTAATGTAGTGCAGTTAAAATCATTGTTAAAACGGATTCTTCTGCGAAACTCCATAGTTGAATCGAGTCATGCTAACTGCCTAATGTTTGAGCCATATTCTAATGGCTCTATTCTTTCTCTTGAATGGAAAAAAAGGTTGTGTTCTGTTGATAATTTTGACCAAGAGGATATTGACTTTGAAGAAGTTTTTTTGTACTGCGATGAACTTCAAATGTCTAGCTACAAAGAAGCAATATTAGGATATATCTCTGGTTTAACAGTCAGAAAGTTGATAAATACTATTTTATGTAATGCTTGTGCTCAACCATTAACTGATATTTTATCATATGAACATTCCTATGCGAAATCTCATTCTTCATTAAATAATGTGAAAGATTGTGTGGTTTGTTTTTGCCATCAAGGGATGTTGTTTCTGAGTCGTGTGAGAAAGTATTTAACTTTTTTATTAGTGGTAAAGATTTTAAAAATCCAAAACTAACCTCAGATAAAAATATAAAGCATAAGATGATCCATGTGTTAACAAATTAATTATTAAAAAAAAAGTCTTTAAAGGACATGATAGTCACGACATAGAATTGTGGACTGAAAATGAAGATTTGCATTCCAGCCAGCTTGTTAGAAAGATATGTGAATATTACTTTAGAATTCAAATGTTCAGATATGCCCAGAATTATACCACTAAAGTTCTAAGAAAGTCGCCAATTGGTTTAAGACAACAAACAAATAAATTAATATTGTTCAAGGGTTTATGAATATTTCATTTTATTGTATAAAACTTTTATAAAAATAATAAAATATATTATACAATGTTTTAGTTTGATGTTCTAAATGCAAATATGATTTTAAATATATACTTTTGTGGCTATAAAAATAGATGTTTGTTTTAGTTTGTTATAACAAACTTAACATGCTAACGTTAGCATGTCCAATCTTTGACCAACAAATATGTATGTACTGACTGTATGCTCACTAAATTGATTGTCTATGATTCTAATCATCTTTAATTCCAAGAATAAGGATGTTAAAATTGCCGATGTCTTTTCATATCAATGTGATCGCTAAAAGCTTTTTGCCCGATATAATAATGGCTTCCAACGCATTAAATTGGCTTCACTAAAAATGGGGGAGTTAGATATCTAGTTATTTCTTTACATCATTGGTGTGTGTATACACACATATAAAAGCATACTTAGATCAGAATTCTGATGTCATACTGAAAAAGGGGGCTACCTGGGGTTTCTGTGCATACATCAACTGATGTAGGGAAAATAAGCAATAAATACTTTTTGTTTTTGGCAATACCTAGCCTGACTGTTTTTGCTGTTTTTCTTATAAAGTGTTAGTTTTCTTTTACTGAAAGTTTTATTTACTTAAATTAGTTTATAAACTAATATAATCACAAAATGAAGCTGACTACTTTTATTAAACAAATGTACATTAATTTTAATTTGCAACCTAATGCTAAAACTAAGAACATTATAGATAATAACATTATATTATATATTATACATTATAAAACATACTTTGTTGATTCTTCTAACTTGTCCAACTACCTTCCATTAGTCTTCTTCCTATCATAAGCAATGTCTTTGAGTTTTTAATTAACAAATACTTTATCTCTCATCTTGAATCTAATACCTTACTTTCGGATTATAAATATGGATTTCAACAATTTTGTTTTACTGCTAATTTGTTAAATGATAGGTTTTATCGTGTATTAACTAGATGCGGAAAGGTTAAGGTTATTGCTATCAACATTTCTAAAGCCTTTGACAAAGTTCAGCATGCTGGTCTTTGCCATAAACTCTCTTCTTACAGTGTATCAGATCACATCTTTAATATCATTGAATCTTTTCTTACCAATCGTAGTATAAAAGTTGTCCTCAATAGACAGCGCTCTTCTTAATTTCTTATTTTAATTTATATTTCTGATCTCCCAGAAATTCCCACATCTAAGGTGGCATTGTTTACTGATGATACTATCATTTATCTTAGTCTTAATAAGAAGTCAACACTCTCTGACTGCTTGGAGCATTTCAGCTTGAAAAAGATCTCATATCTGCTACAACATGGGCTCTCAGTGGCTGGTGAACTTTAGCTCAGTTAAAACTCAATTTTTTTCAGCTGATCCTTATTACAGCAATCTAGATTTTCTCATATTTATGAACAGTAATGTACTCGATGAGTTATCTACCCTTTGTCTTCTAGGATTAACCCTTACTTTTGAAAACCATAAACCAAATCAATTGCAAAATTAATATCTGCTAAGGTTGCATCTTTTTATTGTGCACACCACTTTTTTACTCTGAATTCTATTCTTTATCTCTATAAATCTCAAACTGTATGAAACACATTTGCCATATCTGGAGCGAATATTCAAATGATGCCTTTTCACTTTTAGACAAGGTACAAAAATGCACTGTCAACATAGTTGGACCAACTCTTGCAGCCAACTTTCATCCATTATCACATTGTCATAATGCTTCTCTTTCTCTTTTCTAAAAATACTATATAGGGTGCTGCTCTGAAGAGTTAGAGCCTCTTGTTCCATCTAATAAAATTTATTCACAAATTACTCATCATTCAATTCTCATCCTTTTAATGTGACTGTTCCTAAGGGCGCTGAAAATTTTTATTCGTCTAGTTTTTTCCTTGAACATCAGTACTATGAAATTTGCTCCCTTCATCCTGTTTTCCT